AGAACGAGGAAAACAAAAGGAGTTAGGGTAAAGGCCCTATCGCAAGGGTCTAGGCCCGAAACGTCGGCCTTCCTGCTCCTCTGATGCTGCTTGGCCTGCTGTGTTCATCCAGCTCTACACCTTGTTATCTCAGATTCTCCAGCATCTGCAGTTCCTACTATCTCTGAAACAATTTTAACCCCCTTCCCTTTCATACAGTTCCTTTTTCCCTTAAATGGGTATTCTTGTACATGAATAAGTACAAAAAGTACTTTGACAAAATATACCTTCTTTCCAGCAATGTTCAAGTTCTGTTGTACCAAAAGTAGGAATATTCTCATTTCCTGCCTATCCCTCAAATAAAAAAAACTAACATTCATCTCCACAGTATGTGTTGACCTCTGCTGTTATTACATACAGAATAATAAATTCACTTTGAAAATAATTTGTTAACTTTGAAGCATTTTGGATAAAGGAATTTTAAAGTTATACTTAAGTCATTTCTTCTAACAGTGGAAGAAGTTGGTGCGAGCAGAGAATTTGTTTTTTTTTAGAAACCTTCAGCCAAATCAAACAACTTAGAGTCTAAAGGAATCATATTTCATCACGTTACTTTCTAATCTATTTGTTTCATCTCCAACTGCAGTTGCTTGGACATTTTGATAGGTATAAAATGTTAGTTGAATATATAAAATCAGTACTGAGTCATGTGTACAGGTTCAACACTTCCATTAACGTCATCAACCTTTTAAAAAAGATCTTGAGGTATCTACTGGATAACAATTTGTAATCTTGCAAGAAATGAGACAGCATTAAGAAACATTATCATGTTGCTGATGAGATCGGGTTTCCAGTTACCAATTTTACAATAATAAGAATTAAAAATGCTGGTAAAACTCAGAAGGTCATGTAACATCTGTGAGGAGAAAGAGTCAATGTTTTAACCTTGCAAGAGAAATGATATTCTTTTACACTGCAGCTTGCTCAACCTTTTTCTCTTTCTGAAGTTAATGGTTCAGAGGTCAAATTGATGGTTTATTTAAACTTTTCACACTCCAACTCTTTCTAAAATTAATGCTCCACAGTCTCCTGTGATTTATCAGAAACTGCCCTCAGTCAAGCAGTACATAAGTACTAAGTTAGTCCCTCCAAAAGTACGCAGTTAGGAACAAATTTAAATATTTCCAAAATGGATTTTATAAACCAGAACCAAAAGTTATAAAATTCTCTCTCATGAGCAAAACAACTTGACATCATACAAGTTCTCAGGTGCACTGTTTCTATTTTCTTGAAATTATTCCATATTTCACTGTTGTCTGTTTTTACACATATTTCATTGCTAAAGAGAAGTTGAATTTTGTTTCTAATCTTGTGTTCCAGCAGTTCATTTCCTGCAGGAACACACTTGCAGTGTGCGCCACCACACGACCAATCACATAGTATGTAGATTCAAGATAAGGATTCAAATTTCTCTACCGCTTCAATTCAGACTGCAGATACAGTTGCATGGCATAACAAAAGAGCACCTAGAGCTCTCTAGAGATAACACAGTGTGGAGCTGGAGGAACACAGCGGGCCAGGCAGCATCAGAGGAGCAGAAGAGTTGATGAAATGTCAGCTTTCCTGCTCCTCTGATGCTACCTGACCTGCTGAGTTCCTCCAGCTCCACAGTTATCTCGGACTCCAGCATCGGCAGTTCTTACTATTACCTAGAGTTCTCTAGCTTTTTTTTATTCATTGTGGGATGTGGGCATCGTGGCTGGCCAGCATTAATTGACCAAGCCTAGCTGTCCTCGAGAACGGTCTGTGGTGAGCTACCTTCTTGAGCTGCTGCAGTGCACCTGCTGTTGGTTGACCCAGAATGCCATTAGGGAGGGAATTCCAGGATTTTGAAATTGCGAAAGAAAATAGAAGTTTAAAATTATACAAAAAATGTTGACAACATGTCATCTTGAAACGTAAGATTTTGAGAAGGTTCA